GATCACGTGAGGTCAGGGGTTCAAGACCTGCCTGGTCACCATGGTGAAACCCTGGCTGTACTAAAAATACAAAAATTAGCTGGGCATGGTGGCGCACGCCTGTAATCCCAGCACCTCAGGTGACTGAGGCATGAGAATTGCTTGAATCTGGGAGGCAGAGGTTTCAGTGAGGCAAGAATGCACCACTGCACTCCAGCCTGGGTGACAGAGTGAGACATCATCTCAGAAAATAAATTAAATAAATGTACATTTAGTTGCTGACATGTATGTAAAACAAGGCCTTTGCTTTGAATATAGGATACTGACTGACCATCTGCTTTGTTTTTCAGAAATTAAATCTATCATTTAGTTTTTCAGTCTCGCTCTGTTGCCCAGGCTGGAGTGCAGTGGTGTGATCTCAGCTCATTGCAACGTCTACCTACCGGGTTCAAACAACTCTCATGCCTTAGCCTCCCAAATAGCTAAGACTACAGGCATGTACCATCATGCCCAGCTTTTCTTTTTCTTTTTCTTTTTTTTGGGGGGAGGGGTGGTATTTTTAGTAGAAACAGGGTTTCCTCGTGTTGCCGGGGCTGGTCTCAAACTCCTGGCCTCAAGTGATCTGCCCTCCTCTGCTTCCCAAAGTTCTGGGATTACAGGCGTGAGCCACCGCACCCAGCCCCATAATTTAGTTTAGATTTTCCATTTTGGTTTCTTTGAAAGGGAGCAAGAACTCAAACACTGTGAAACTGTCTAAATGCAGACTCTTCGTAGACTTCTGTGCTTGCCTTCCAGTCTCTAGTTGTCTCACCTGTACCTAATTTGACAGTATTGTGCTACAACTGACCTTTATATCATCTTACCAAAATATTCTACATAGTTTTCATAGAAACGCCCCCCAAACTCCCCCCATACTCATAATTTAATGGGCTTCTGTAACATATAATCAGATTACATAATTATTAAAACTAATATAAACCAGTTCTAGCATAGTTTGAACAGAAGTGTGTGGGAGTACTGGAGATTAACCTATTACCCACTAGTGTATAGTGAGCTGTGGACATCTGTCGCTATATTTAATAGCAGGGAATTAAGAGCCTTTGTTCATCTAGAGGTGAGTTAAGTAGAGGTGTATCAAAAGTGCTTCTGGTGTATTAAGATGATTTATATACCTGTCTTATCCTGTGAGACCAGCAGCTCTTGAAACGTGGTCTGGGAACCACTGGGCAGAGGTGTCCCCGAGAACCTTTCAAGGGATCAATGATGTCAAGATCATTTTTATAATAATGCTAACAGCTTTTTTTATTTTTTCCCTCTCATTCTCTAGAAATTTCTTAATTTTAGTTTCTAATATGGTAGGTATCAGCAGTTAAAACTTACAAACAGAAGTTTTTTGGGGGTCTGTACATTTTTCCTTTTAAAAACATTTAAATTTAGTTTTTTAAATTTTTTAATTGACAAAATATGTGTATATTTATGGTATATAGCATGATGTTTTGATATATGTGTATGTGTGGAATGGCTAAATCAAGCTATTCACATCTGTACTTTTTAACTAATACATGTCACAGAACGTTTAAGAAAGTCTGCGCTCCTTGAGGGTAGGAACCGTGTTTCATTTGTTATTCCCAATGTGCTCTTGCATTGTCTTTTACATAGTAGGCACTCAGTAAATAGTTAAGAAATGTGTGAGAATAAAATGAATTATTTTTCAAGTATTTATGGTCTTCTAAACTGGGTCAACAAACTAGTTTTAAGTAAAGGTTTCTGTATTAATGAATAGATCTATAATTAACAGCAGTAATATGCAAGTGGGTGCTTTTAAGTACTTTTAAAACAAAATTTAATACCTTTCCTTTGAAATCTTAAGCGGTATTTTGAAAAAGACGAGACGTGTGGTTTAGTGGAAAGAATATGAGAATGTGTTCCTATGAGGCTTTAAAAAGAGAGCAGGCAAATCATGCCTAGGGGGCTGCATCAGGAGTAAATTGGCCTTTTAAAAATTTAAGAAGAGAAGAAGAGAAAGGAAGTGAACAGAGATGTCAGGTTACTTAGGAACATCCAGTGGATGGGAAAATTCATTGCTGATGAAGACTTTTCTGTTCACTTTGAGTAGCATTTGAAAGCTATTTTAGGTTTGAAAAGGAGATATGATAGACAGAAAATTATGATTTGAGGAAGTAAATGTTACTGCTCTATGTGAGTGACTTTGACTGAAGAATAGTGAGGAGAGTGGTGGCCAAGTTGAAATGGGCAGTTGCTCTGGACCTGATGTCTACCCTTGAGCTGTCATATGGAGAAGGTTGATAGCACAAACCTTTAACTGAAAATTAAATTCAGCCTGTCCACCTGGAGTAGGTTCTGCTAAATAAGTGGGGAGCATTCACTTATTAAAAGGTAGCTATATTAGTCCATTTTCACACTGCTATAAAGAAATGCCTGAGACTGGGTAGTTTATAAAGAAAGAGATTTAATTGACTCATGGTTCTGCATACCTGAGGAGGCCTCAGGAAACTTACATTCATGGTGGAAAGCAAAGGGGAAGCAGGCACCAAGGTGGCAGGAGGGAGAAGTGAGAGCGCAGGAAAAAGCTGCCAGTGAGAAATCACTCATTATCACCAGAACAGCACAGGGGAAACTGTGCATGATCCAGTCACTTCCCTCGACACATGGGGATTATAATTCAAGATGAGATTTGGCTGGGGACACAGAGCCAGACCATATCAGTAGCTCTTTTAGTTGCAACATTAATGAACATATGGATATGTGACTAAACTATTTGCAGAGATAGTAGCCTAGATTTATTTTTTTATTTTATTTTATTTATTATTTAGTTTTTTTGAGACGGAGTCTTGCTCTGTTGCCAGGCTGGAGTGCGGTGGTGCTATCTTGGCTCACTGCAACCTTTGCCTCCTGGGTTCAAGTGATTCCCTTGCCTCAGCCTTCTGAGTAGCTGGGACCACAGATGCATGCCACCATGCCTGGCTAATTTTTTATATTTTAGTAGAGACAGGGTTTCACCGTGTTGGCCAAGATGGTCTTGATCTCCTGACCTTGTGATCCGCCTGCCTCGGCCTCCCAAAGTGCTAGGATTACAGCTGTGAGCCACCACGGCCTGCCTAGATTTATTTTTTTAAAGGATTAATTGTCTTCCTTTACTGGACTTTCCTCATGCATTTAAGACATTTGATATATCAGATTTTCCCAAATCTTGCTATTGTTGTGACGACTAAAGAATTTTTCTTGATAGAACTTTCAGCTTCAGTAAGAGCCAAACTTGAATATAACCTTTTTGCTTTAAGAAAATTCAAATCTGGCCGGGCGCGGTGGCTCAAGCCTGTAATCCCAGCACTTTGGGAGGCCGAGATGGGCGGATCACGAGGTCAGGAGATCGAGACCATCCTGGCTAACACGGTGAAACCCCGTCTCTACTAAAAAATACAAAAAACTAGCCGGGCGAGGTGGCGGGCGCCTGTAGTCCCAGCTACTCCGGAGGCTGAGGCCGGAGAATGGCGTGAACCCGGGAGGCGGAGCTTGCAGTGAGCTGAGATCCGGCCACTGCACTCCAGCCTGGGCGACAGAGCGAGACTCCGTCTCAAAAAAAAAAAAAAAGAAAATTCAAATCTTAATTTTATTAAAGACATTAATGCGAGGAAATTATTTGTAGAATTTAGACTTTAGTATAAGACAATTATGGCTTTTAAACTATTTTCTTCCTGCCATATTTTGGTATAAGGCAATCATGCTTCTCATCATTGCTCTTTCTGCACCTTCTTGTGATTCGTTACATATGTTGCATTAAGGGACCCTGGATACATTGATTATATACAGTGTGCTCGTAATTAGTTTGTACAGCATCCCCTAGATTTTGGAGACATTCAAAGATCACTAGAAAAATATTTTTTAGTATAAATCATGTAGGCATGGTTCTATACACATTCTACATTTTGATCAGTTTATCTGTCTCCCCCAGTGAACTGTATGCTTCTTGAAAACAGTACTGTATCTTAATCATCTTGATTCCTCAATGCCTAGATGGGGCCTTTTGCATAGCAGACATTTTGCTAATGTTAGTGGAATGAAGTAATTCTCTCTGAAAAGATGAATCATAAATGCACTACTCATGAGCCAGGGAATTTCCTGAGTCTCTTCTTAAAACCCAGGTGAATTCTTGTGGAAATATGACTGAACCTTAAATGTTTCTAACCACAGTCATACATTTCCAGGGTATCATAAAGCTGGTACCATTATGAGACATTTATATGTGTATTATATAATAAGGTGAGGTCTGTCAAGTGACCACACCACAATGCTTGGTGGCCAGTAGGCACACAATAGATGCTAGCCTTTCTTTTTCTGATTTCTCCTAGGTTTTATGTCAGGGTCACTGTAAGAATTACTAAGGATAGGGGAAATTGCCTTTCTGTTTGGACAGATATTCATAGCAGTTAAAGATTCTGTTTTGACATGCCCAGATTTATAATTCTGCAGGAAAACAGAAGTCAGAGCAGCTGGCAGGCTGAACTGGTACACAGTATAACCCAGACAGTAGACTTGCCCAGTGCCACAGTATTTTCTGGGCTGACTGTTCTAGTCACAAGGTACTCGAGAATTTTATTCGTGCACATACACACACAAGCACACACACGGTCTTTGATTTAGTGGTTTAGACTAGCTGTGTTTTCAGAAGTTACTTTGTCAAAGACGATAGCCTTTATACTCTTTAATTTGATTTTATGCCCTTTTAAGCCACCTTATTTAGAAGGAGCTAAGTGTATAAAAGCTGTTGCTGGCAAAGGGCTGCAGCAGCCTAATAAACAAATCTGACAGGAGCCCAGTTTGTTACAAAGCCAAGAAAAAGGTTTCTCTCTATTCTGACCAGTGAGATTCCTAAAACTTAACTATTTTTTCTTGATTTTTGTTATTATATTTGATTGTCATATTACTAATTTAGTGTGTTAAAATACAGTCTTGAAAATGATAAGTGTTATCTCTGAATACTTTTTTTTTTTCCATTCAAGATAAGCTGTCATTGGAAGGAATAGTGGTACAAAGAGCTGAATGCCGACCAGCTGCCAGTGAAAACTACATGCGATTAAAAAGGTTGGTGTTTTGTAACTCCAGAATGATACCTGATATTTCCCTTTGGGGATTGAGATACGTGTGTTATATCGCCTATTGACTGCATTAAAACTGTGGTTATTGTTGAGCGTTTGCTTCAAAAGCTGTTTGGTTTTAAAAGCAAGTAAGTTTCTTTGGCACTAAAGAAATTTCAGTATCTGGGCTGTTTATTTGAGGTATTTTAAGCTACTTTGTTAATACATCCTGGAATCAAAGTTTTAAAACTACATTTTCTAGTTGTCTTTATACATTTTGATTCTTTAAAGACATGTAATAAGATCGTTGTACTCTTTTATTTTCCAGGGCTGTAATTTTTCCATAATAAATATGTATCCAAAATACTGTAACTGGGCCGGGCATGGTGGCACATGCCTGTAATCCCAGCACTTTGGGAGGCTGAGGTAGGTGGATCGTTCAAGGGCAATATGGTGATATCCTATCTCTACGAAAAGATAGAAAAATTAGCCGGGCATGGCTGGGGTGTGAGGATTGCTTGGGCCTGGGAAGTCAAGGCTGCAGTGAGCTGAGATCATGCCATTGCACTCCAGCCTGGGTGACCCAGTGAGACCTTGTCTCAAAAAAAAAAAAAAAAAAAAAGGTTGTACTGTATAAAGCAAGTGTAGTTGCCAGAATATCATCCTGTTGTCTTGATCTATAGAGAAATTTTTATAAACATATACACTTTGTTAGAGAGTTTGTTTCAGGATCTTCCCCTGCCCCTGACATTTTTTATGTGGTTAACATTTTGTAGTTAGTATTTAAAGATGCTGATTGCAAATTCTTGATACCCCAAATTTTATGACATTCAAAGAGTCAGCAATTTTTTAAGCCCTGAGGAAATATATTATACCTGTTTCATAGTTTATTTTTAATGTGTTTTAGCCGCATGTGATTTAGAATTATACTTTTTTGTTCATTCATTCAGTACTTACTATCTGCCAAGTGCTTTCTTAGGAGTGAGAGAAATTGCAGGAAACAAAGTAAACAGAAATCTCTGCCTTCGTGGACCTTCCATTGTCACAGATTGTAGGTACACTGAATCGGTAGTGGAGAAGACACTGCTGAAGCAGTGGTAGTGGCCTCTTAGATATCAGCATTCTCTTCTATGTAAGAGGCCAGGTGAGCTGGATCATCTCGAAATTTTGCATCATCTTTAAAAATTTCCCTCTTTTGTCAATTAGATTGGACTCTATCTCCTGAGAATGACATAGACTTGTTCTCTTGTCAAATAATTCCTCTAATTTATATGCCTCCTTGGGGCAAATAAAAGAATGACAATCAAAATGAAAAATATTTATAACAGAAAATAGCTTTGGAAAACAGGCAGAAGATGTTTCTTTCATTGTTTTTAGCTTATAAAATTTATTGTATAGTAATAAATTTTTGAAGTCTTTTTGAAAATTTATCTCTTCATGTAACTACTGAAATTGAAAAATGCAAAATCTGGTTACCAAGCTGCTTACCGAGATCTTTTTCTGTGGCCCTAATTTTTTTTAAAGGGTTCTAAAGATTTCTGATGATGAGATCAGGCAGGTCACCTGCTGTGTTTATAAAACGGCTGCTTGTTTCCTACCAAAAAAGAAGTGAAAATTGTTTAGCCTTTCAAGTGTGCTGAAAGATCAACTGTTACATAGTCATGCACTATGTAAGGACATTTGGTAGTCTCGTAAGATTACAGTACTGTATTTTTTCTGTTCTTTTTCTGTGTTTAGATACACAAATACTTAAAATTGTGTTACAGTTGCCTACGGTGTTCATTACAGGAATGTGTAGTGGGGTATACCGTCTAGGTTTGTATAAGTACACTCTATAATGCTTGCACAACAGTGAAATTGCCTGACAATGCATTTCTCATGAGATATCCCCATTGTTAAGCCATGCATGACTATATTTTAATCTTTACTTAAGTGACTTAGAAAAAGAAACAAGTGGTTCAGGAGGATCATGTGAGTTTCATGAAGTAGATGATAGATGACATAAGTCTTGAAGACAGCTTTTTTTGACCAACTGGAGAAAGAGATTGGGTAAGAACATTAAAAACAGACATGCACAAAGACATGGGGAAGACTTTAGGGACCTGTGTGTGGTTCTGTAAGCCTGGAATGGAGGGATTGTTTGAGAGGATGTCAGAAGCTCCAGCCCAGATCTCTTTCTTCAACATCAAACATACGTACAAAAGCCGGGTTGAATGTCTGATAGACATTTCAAATATGTAAAAAACTGAACTCCAGATCTTTCTGGCAAAACCTGCTCTACTAGCATTTTTCTTGTCTCAGTTAATACCTACTCTGTCCTCTCATTTTTTCAGTCCAAAAACATTGGTTTTTAGTTAAACCTTGGTTTAGTCTTAGTTCTTGACTCCTCTCACATCCCACATCCAATGTGTCAGAAGAATCTTATTGACTGTCTCTTCAAAATATTACACATCCATAGTCTGATCACCCCATGAACTGCCATTTTTTCTCACCTGGATTGCTGCAGTAGCCTCCTACCAGAGTTCCTGCTTCCACCCTTGCCCCACTGTAGTCTCTTCTCAGCACAGTAGCCAGGGAAGTTCTTTTAAAATCTAAGTCAGATCATGCCATTCCTCTGTTCAAATGTCACTTGCAGTGCTTTCTGTATTACTCAGAGTAAAATCTAAGTCCTTACTTATAATGGTCTACAGGGTCCTATGTGATGATCCTACCACTGTCTATACCTTCTCGCCATCCTCATCTTTTTCTTCCCTCCCTTTCACTCATTCTGCTCCAACCACACCTGTCTCTTAACAATCCATGAGCACTCCAGGCACACATCCACACCGCAGCCTTTGCACAGACATTCTTTTCTGCCTGGAACATCCTTTCTCCAGATAACTGCATGGCTTGCCGCCTCACCTCTTTCACGTCTCTTCTCAAAATGCCACTTTTTCATGAGGCCTACCTTGACTACCCTACCTCTTTCTATACTTGTATTTTCTTCATAGCACACATCACGTCCTACTAAACTATGTAATTTACTTATATTTATTGCCACGTTTTCCTTCCTGCAATTTAAGTTCCCATGAAAACAAAGTTTGTTTTTTTCTTTTTTGACTTTATTTTTTGTGCATGTCTATTTGGTTCACTCATTTACATACACAAACTTGTCTACAATAGTTCATTCCTCATAGTGGGTAGTCAATAAATATTTGGTGAGTGAATGAATGGCACAAGATGAGGTTTAAAATGTTAAAGAGTCTTAGATACTATGGTAAGAAATTTGGACAGTGTGTGCTATGACTATTAAGGAGGTATGGAAAAATTTTAAGCTGGGTGGAATCGAAAGGGATTTGTATTTTAAATAGATCATTCTGGCCATAGTATAAAGATTAGAAGCAGGGAGATAAGCTTGAAGCAGATATAATTTCCAGGTTCAAAATGTCTGAATGACTAAACAAGGTGGTTCTAGTCAGAAGGGAGATGAGAGTCTCTTTTGAGGATAGCTGGAGGTAGAGCCATTAGGACTTAATGAACTTACTTCAGACTTCTTTGGTTGTGGAATGGGAGATTCTTCTGGTTGGTGGTGGCTCTTGTGGCCTAGCTGTGAATATCCCAGATTGACTCCCGCTGTCCTGTGCATTGCAAGGGAAGTTTACACTGATGAGAGGAGAGGGATAGGGAAGTTTTTGTAGTCCCCATGTCCATTAGAATTTAATCCCGTTTGGCAGTTTACATAAAAGACTCGAAGCAGAAAATACATAAAATTGTAAGAACGATACCAAGGAACAAATTAGCAAAATAGCAAACTAATTTAAGTCATGAATTATTTTATTTACAATTACCCAACATTATCACTAAGGTGAGGCTCAAAAAATTTTTTCTGTTATTTTTAAAAACTGAACAACATGAGTTTGAAATTATGTATATATATATATATATATATATATATATATATATAAATTTTTTTTTTAAGAGACAGGATCTCACTATGTTGCCCAGGCTGATCTCAAACTCTAGGCTCAAGTGATCCTCCTCCTACCTCAGCCTCCCAAAGTGCTGGGATTATAGGCATGAGCCACCATACCTGGCCAGGCTCAAAAATATATATATATATATATTTTTTTTGAGAGACAGAGTTTTGCTCTTGTTGCCCAGGCTGGAGTACAATGGTGCAATCTCGGCTCACTTCAACTTCCGCCTCCTGGGTTCAAGCGATGCTCCTGCCTCAGCCTCCCAAGTAGCTGGTATTACAGGCATGTGCCACCACGCCTGGCTAATTCTGTATTTTTAGGAGAGACGGGTTTCTCCATGTTGGTCAGGCTGGTCTCGAACTAGTCTTTGAACCTGAAGAAACACACACACCACAGACCCCCACACGTACACATGCACACACACAATTACCCTGTTACCTGAAGGATCTGTTTACAGACAATGTTGTGGAGGAAAGGAATAGCAACGTGGTAGTGCTATTGAATGTAAAAATGGAAAGGCAGATTTCAGATGTAGGTAACATTAAAGTAGAAGTGTTTGAGAACAGAATTGGTAAGTCTGAGATATTCTATACCTAGATTTTCCATAAACATGCTCACAATTTTTCAGGGCCTCCTTCCAACCGCATAGATTGTAGTCATATTCAGGTTTTTTGATGATCTGGCTCTTGTCTTCGTTTTCAGCTATTCTCTTTTACGTAGACATTATATAGTTATAGCACACTGTAACTTCTTATCCCAGATATGCTTGGCACTTTCCCATCTTATGCCTTTGCTGCTTAAATGCTGCATCTTCTACCTAGGATTTCTTTCTTTCTTTCTTTCTTTCTTTTTTTTTTTTTTGAGACGAGTCTTGCTCTGTTTCCCAGGCTGAAATGCAGTGGAGCGATCTCCGCTCACTCCAGCCTCTGCCTCCCAGGTTCAAGCGATTCTCCTGCCTCAGCCTCCCAAGTAACTGGGACTACAGGCATCCTCCAGCATGCCTGGCTAATTTTTGTAGTTTCTTTTTTTGTTGTTGAGACAGGGGCTCACT